TTTTTTAAATTTCAAAATACGCCATAACTAGGGAAGAAGTATATTTCTTTCTGTAGAACGCTCAGTAACTGCAAATACAAAAGTGACTTGAAATAGAAACAGCAGCAGCAGCAGCAGCAACTAAAGCAACAGCAACAGCAACGAAGAATAACAGAAACATCAATAATGACAAAAACAGCAGAAATATCAGCAACAACAGCTTCTCTTCTTTCTTATTTCTTGTTTTCTTGGTAAGTGATTTACGGCGCTCTGAACTGTATCATGTCAAATGAACGCGTGGGACACATTAAACTTTTCAGCAGGTTGGAATTTTTTAATTTTGTGCAGGTAGCGGTGGAGGCCTACACTTATCGATTTTGGAACATCAGGGGATCTATACCGTGTGCAACTTGCACAAGAGACGTCCGAGATTGTTCGCCATTGTAAGAGAAGGCTAGGTGTGGATCTTTCTTACCATATGATCAGTGCTATTGCTGAAAGACAGCAGTAAGAAGGAGCCAAGGAGTAGCAGTAGAAAGGCTGCAGAAAGAGTCAGGAGCCCACAGGAGGTGGCAAAGGAGGTGATGGGGTGCAACAATAGCGACAGCAATAACAACAACAGTAACAGTGATAATAACAACAGTAACAAACAATAAAAACAGCGAGAAGAACAGCAACACAGAAGCACCAACACACAATCAGTTGTAGAAGCACGGAAACAAATATCATGTACTTGATCAAGTGAGACATAATACAACAATAACAAGTGAGTTTTATTTTTAATTTACACATTTTATTGAAAACATTGATAATATGAAAAGGGGAAAAAATGAACATAAAGATACATTATGATTTTGAATAGGACACATTGACACATCAGCGGTGACTTTTGAGGAAAGAATTATTGACATCAGGTAGATTTCCTCAACTAGCAGTTTGAAAACAGTGCATTTATAAGTTAAAAATTTCGTAAAAATTTCGAGGCATACAAACAAATATTCAAAAGAGAAACTGAGAATGATGCAAATTCAAAGGGTGTCCAAGAAATCACTGGGCTTACATTAACAGAAAAATAAAACTAAGTTTGAAAAGATTCAATAATAGTGTTTTACTTTAGTTAAAACATTTGATTAGCAAACATACAAAATACATTGTTAATATGAATTCAATAAAAAGTCAACAATATTTCAATGTAATTTAAGAAAGCATGAAAACTGGAATAATTTTTTTATTTTTTTGGGGTGGGGTGGGGGGGAG